CGCACCCCCGTACCCGGTGGGGGGCTCCGGGCCCCTGGGAAACCCAGAAGCGCACCTGACGGCCCGAGGACGTGTCCGCCGAAGGGCCGGTTCGCCACGCGTGGTGCGCACGTTGCCGTGGGACCGCAGTTCACTCTAAAATCACGCCCATTTTAGGGATATCTCCATGGACTTTGGGGAAGCCATGATGTTATTGCATTCACCACCACATACCGTTTCTTTCTTTTGAAGTTCATGGCTCCTGAGAACATGTGCAATAGACTTTTTCCAAAACACCGTAATTTACCATATACTACACCATAAACTTGGAAGTATTTTATTTATTTTTTAGAAAAACCCAATGTCTCTTTGGGCAGCACCCACCGAGTACCCGTATTATAATCCTCCATGTGGCTCTAGGCTTGTTGAGGTAACCATCGTTTTCTCCCATTGTAAGATTCTTGTTGATGCCATTGGCTTCTTTCTCTCTGTAGAAGACTTTCTCCTGACAAGCCCTTCCTTCCCTGCTTCTGTAGGTCCCTTCTTTCAAATTATATCCCTAACATTTGTATAACGTGTTTTATTTGTACACCTATGACCACATCTCTCTCGTGAAATGGGTATCTGATGGGATTATGGACAGGAGTAGGAATGAAAGTAAAAGTGTCTATTGTTTTCATTAATCTACTTTTTTCTATTTATAAGTGAAATTTGTTTTGCCTGACCAATCTAGATCAAATTTGCCATTTGAGCATACACAGTTGGGCAGGGGATATAAAAATAAAGGTGCACCACCCATCTTAAAGTCCTCCTATGCTGCCTTCCCCTTTTTCCATATTTCTCAACAGGGAGCCGATTAATAAGACTGAAGGCATGATGGTGCACACCTATAGTCCCAGAACTCTAGAAGGCTGAAACAAAATCACAAGTTCTAGCCCAGCATGGGCAAGTTAGGGAGCTAGGAAATCCTGTCTCAGAATTTAAAAAAAAAAAAAAAAAGAGTTGGAGATAGGAAGAAGACCCTGGGTTCAATCCGCAATACCATAAAAATAAACAAAAATCGTAGATTATTCATAATTCATAAAATATACATAATTTATTTCTATAATTATCAGACTACTTACAGTCACTATTGGCAAAATGATTTGGTTTCAGGTTCCTTGCTGTAAAACCCAAAAATGGATCAGATTTTCATTCTACTGTAGCAGAACCCAATTTTATTTTTAAGAAAATAGTCTCAAAACACCAGCATTAGTGTCAAGCTTTTTAAAATATTTTACTTGGAGAGAATTGTGGTATTCTGAATTACTGAATTACTAGACATCTTATCAATGAAATTCCATTTGTTTCCAGTTGTGATGTCAATGTATTAATGAGAACTAAATTTGTCTCATGAGCCCACGCTGCCCAAAATATATTTCTCCTGGTCTCACCACATTGTATTGTATCATAGATAAGTTAAACCCTAAAACTATTTTATAAACTGGAATTGGCTTTGTGTGTTTGAAAAAATTTTTAAACTTTTACCTCTTATCTTTTCTTCTATGATACTGTCATAGGTTTCCATAATAAAACTGCCTTTTAAAAAAACCCACAACATTTGTATGATCACAAACCAATTGAAGTATATTTCTCATCCCTCTAATCTCTTGAATGACAGGTCTCCACTGAGCATTAATGTTTAGGCCGAGTTTTTTCTACTTTGAAGCTCTTAGGTGTCCAACATGTAATCAGCATCAAGTGGGCAGAAGGGTAAAAGGTATGGAGGATGGTTCAGGGAAGGTTTTCTGAACATCACCTTCCACCTGTGTGCATCTAGGAAGAACTCTCTCAAGCCGTCGAACTGCGAGATGGATTCTGGCTCAGGAAGAAAGAAAAAGATTTGGAGAACAGCAAGGCAGGCTCTGCTGCACAGTTATTGGTTTCTGAAATAATAACCATGTTATTTCTACAGCTGTAATTAGCAAGTAGATGATAAGCTGAGAAATTTCCCAAATGGCATAACTGAAACAAACAGCCTAAGAAATATGCTATGGATGGAATGTTTGCGTTCTCCCAACATTCAAATGTGGAATCCCAACCTCCAATGTGATGGGACTAGAAGGGGAGCCTTGGGGAAGTGTCCTCAGGTCATGAGGGTGGGGCCCTCAGGAAGAGGATTAGTGCCCTAAAAATACCCCAAGAATTTGGATCCCCCTTTCTCTACTCTCCACCATGGTACTATGCAATGAGAAAGTGACAACGTACAAACCAGGAGGCAGGCCTTCACCAGGCTCTGGGTGAGCAGAGGACTCGACCCTGGACTCCTAACCCCTAGGACTTTGAGAAGTAAACTCTATTAAAAAGCCATCCAGAGTGTGGGTTTTTACCAAAGCAACACAAACTGACTAAAACAAAACCAAAAAAAAAGTGCACTGCAATAGCTATCAATACCAATTCTTTT